GGTGTGTTGAGAAAGTTGAGGTGTGGTGAATTAAGGTGTGGTGAGTTAAGATGTGGTGAGAAAGTTGGGGTGTGGTGAGTTAAGGTGTGGTGAATTAAAGTGTGGTGGATTTAGGTGTGGTGAATTAAGGTGTGGTGAATTAAGGCGTGGTGAATTTAGGTGTGGGGAGTGAAGTAGTGGTGGATTTAGGTGTGGGGAGGTAAGGTGTGGTAAATTAATGTGTAGCGAACTCAGGTGGAGTAAGTTTTTAAGCGGAGATGAGTTGAGGTGATTTAAGTTAAGTTAAGGGGTTAAGTCAAGATAAGTTATCTTTATCCTTATCTTCATATTCATCTTCTTCTCCGTCTTGGTCTTCATCTTCTTCTTCATCTTTATCCTTTCCTTTATCCTGATCTAAATATGTGCATTCTTTTCTTCATTTACATATTCACCCCCACCATTGTTATTAGGTTAGGTATTTAAATTTTTCTTCCTCTTCGTCTTTATATTTAGGTTTCTTTACTTTTATTTTAATTTCTGTATTTATCCCTTTCTTCTTCTCCATACTCAAAATTATCTTCATCCCTGTTTGAGGCTAATCTATTCATGTACGTACATACATACATCTTATTCCTAAACTGTTGCTTAGCACGTTTCTTTAATTCACTATCAATATTAAAGCATACATTTAGGAGGCATTTCCGCCCCAACCATGTACATGTATGGCATTGGTATTGGTGTGACTTTTGAATTGATTTTTTCGCTCTATTTTAAACTAATTTGAAATTTTAAAAATTGCCTGCACATCAGCATCAAAATACCTTTCTAATGATATATAATTGTTTATACCTTAGAAGTACAGTTTAGCCGTAAAAGGGGTGTAAAGGAAACATGATTGCCTATTTATATAATTGATTAGTACATGCAATTGTTTTATTATAACTTGCACCAAATTCACAAAATGAAAAGTAATATTGTATCACAAAACACTTTACCTCGCACTTCATTAAAAATGCTCGAACCTATATTTGCATGGAAAATAAATTAGGATTAGATGCCTGTAATTTAACGTTATTTGACAAGTTGATCCCAATAAATCCTGTATCCGCCACTAGTTCACACATTATGTAAACTTCAAAAAATGATCATCAAAATTAAAATCATTTGATTCAGAATTTTTAGAAAATTTTCCAGTGTTCAGTTTTGTAGCCCATGCAATTTTAGTAAAACAATATTCAAGTTTCAAGTCGCTAAAAATTACCGTTCATTTAATTTTTTTTTGTGCAGTGTGTTGCGCATTTTCTTCCATATAACGCATTATCAAAATCTACTTTTATATGGAAGAAAATGCACAACACCCTCCACACAGAAAATTGGTTTACAAAATAAAATTCTAATTTTTAGTTAGTTCTAGGTTGCAAGACTTTAATTCTGGTCGAACAGTTCACACCCCTGCTTTGTTGTAACCTCTGCAAGGAGTGATCATGTATTTTATTTATCTGCTGAAATATTTAAGCAATCTTTTGGTTTTGAAAAAATATAAAACTTCAAAGTCTATTGAAGGAACTTACTTTTGTAAAGAATAATACATATGGTTAATTTTTTTCGTTTCAGTAAATATTTTTGCACGGTTGAAAATTTCGGTTTTAATTTTACACTTTTTGGACTACATACATGTATGACCAAACTAAATTCAGCTTCAAATACAAACCTTCCGAGTTAAAAAAAAGATGGCACATATGTTGGGTTTAGAATTAAAACAGTTCGGTTTAAATTTTAAACCCAAACATTTTCATAATTAAGAATAAAAAAAATCTTAAATTTCATGCTTGGTGGCAACCAATTGTATCAAACATCTTTGCACACTCAGCTACAGCCAAGCATATAAATGTGCTTTCATATGTTGAGTTTGAATCAACACCACATTTCGCTGTGTACAAACATTTTCTATTTCGGTTTAGATTTTAAACCAAATTTTATATATATTAAACATAAAAACTAGAATTAAAACATTTTGGTTTGATTTTTAAACCACGAACTTTTTGGACTAAAATTTAAACCAGAATATATTAAAAATTGCTTAAAACTATTGACTGGTTTAAAAACTTTTGCACCCGTTCTGAGCCGGGTCGGAAAAATTACGCTCGCGTCAAAATGTAAAGAATCATCTGAATATAATAGCATAGAATGTTTTCCCAACACTGTTCCAGCTGAACAGTTCAATCATCGTTCTGCCAAATTTTACGCCAGCTGAAATACTATTCACAGAGTTCCTTTCTTCAAAAATAAAAAAAATATTAAAAGAAAAGTCTTGTGCGTTTCCAAAATGCTAGAATTCGGTACACCTGTGCAAAGGCTCAAAAATAAAGTTTTTGGCTTTTCCGAGGATCTAATGCAGTTTGATGACAAATTGCTGACGCAAAATATTTTTGAACCTCAAACCGATGTACCGTTATCCGTGGAAGAGGGAGGAGGTCGAGTTAAAATGATGCCCTGCAACTTGTAACAGTACCAATTTTTGGATTCTCGGAATTTTCTGATAAAGATATGGCGCTGCTAAAAAATATAATATACGCATGTGTGACAAGAATTATCCACATAAGATGAAAACTTCTGAAGTTTAATTTTATAAAAATTTCCAATGGTTTTGGCTTATGGCGTCCAAACGCATTACCCGAATCAACAATTTTTAACATTTGCGTCTAGTCAAAGGATTAAGCTTTAATTTAAAATAAAGATTTTGATTTCAAATATGCCCTTTTCTGTAAATTTTTAGGTGAATGTTGGGCAAAAATACTGTGGATGGCGTAACCGGAGTTGGATTAATGAGGATATTTTTTGTAGCGCAGCCGAAGGCCACCAACGCGGAAAGGAGTTTTTCGCAAAAATACTGCTGATAGCCTAACACGAGTTTAATTCTTCTTTGCGAAGATTCTAATTTTACCCCATTTTGAAACGGACCCCGAGTGCCTTTAGAAGGGGCAGGGTGGCGAAGGGACTTTATTTAAAGTTTATATTGTGATCTTTCTAAAGAGCACCTTTTCCCCTCCGCTCCATACCAAAAAATCATTGTAGAAATAACCGAACACTTCCCTCGCACAACATTAAATCCTCTAATGTATTGTTTGTTTGCTATCGATGTGGCAAGGTACCTCATAATTTTTTACAATTTATGAAACTTTGTCAAAAATTTTGAAATGAAAATATCTTTTTGCAGCATGATTCAAACCATGATAAAAACATTAGAAGGTAAAACCATTCTCTCAATTCGTCGGCCATGATTTTTTTCTGACGTTTGCAAACATTTTAAAATCATATAAAATTGAAAATAAAAAAATGAAATTGTTCACAATTGTTGTTGTTTGAGATTAAAAATGAGAATGTGTGTGTGAGCCTGAGCTCGAATCTTAAAATTATATTGTTGGCAAACGTCAGACTGCCTCTCAATGATTTTACCTTGTAATGTTTTTATCATGATTCAAACTACAAAATCCAATATGGCGTCTAAAATTTCCAAAAATTCAATCCGGAATAACTATTAAAAAATGAGAAAACTGAAGTTTTGGAAATGACGACGTTCCTATTAAATAAAAAAAAAAATCGTACGAAAGCTGTTGGGGCCTAGATCAAATTGTTTGGGCGGAACGTATAGCAGACGGAACCAACTATCCCTAATTTATTAATATAATTACTGTTATTACTTCATAATTTGATCATAAATTCATTTCAGTTATGTTCCCTCGTATATAACAAATAAAATTTTGCTAAACAAATACTGAAACAAACTGAAAATGACAGTTGATTTGACAGTTGTTAACCGAAAAAGTTTGAATGTGGTACATAACTCGAGATCAGTGAGCCTAAAAAAGTCAACGATGTAGGTTGACGCAGACACGATCTACCTTATGGGATTCGCGTCTTATCAAAAACTCACCACCGCATGGCGGTGACGTTTCCGTTGCTTCTCTCTCCCTCTCTCTTTACGCTACGTCGTTGACTGTTTGCGCTTTTACAATATAGTCGTTTAATTGCTGGGAAGTTTTCCTTATTTCTAGAGAAATTGATAGCCCCTTCGACAGTCGAAAACTCCTAAGGTTATAATTGGGTACGCAATTCGGGATTAGTGTATCTAAAAACCTAATCAGTGATATTTTCAAAAAGTTTTTCTTAATTTCAGAGAAACTGGCAGTTGATCTGACAGCTCTCAACCGTCAAACTATAGATATTATGACATATTCGGATTTAGCATTACAACAATACTACGATCCTGCATTTTTATTATAATCGAAACAGGCCTTCTAAATTTTCGCGTAAAACATGGCTTCTCCGACCACTGTGGAGTTCGGGAAGTCGGGGGTTTATATGGTGTGAAATAATCGTATTCCGGGCTAGCTAAAAGTATAAAAAAAGTTTAATCTACACAGCAATCAGATAAATTCTTTAAGCAATCACCGCCGCTTTCAAGTAACCAGTTCCATATTTCTTGAAAGTCGTAGTCTACGCGCGGGCTTATATTTCATTTGTTTAAAATCGTGCCTATGTATTTGTCGTTAAGTGAACTATTCAAATCGACGAATAGTTTTATATGAACTTTTGTGCACTTCTGCTTATGTGTTTTTGAATAACACATTTACCTCTATTGGTTACAATAAGTTTAAGCTATAATAAATAATTTTTTAGTAAGTTATTGGCTTTCATTTTTTTTTTGTATAGGCCTCCCCTAAATTTCGTTCTGGTTACGCCCATTGTGGTATATATTTCTAGGCTCCGTATTTTGCATAAAAATCCGCAAACATAACTAACTAGAAATACACAGCAATAGAAGTAAGGCATAAGAATGCATATTTCATAGATATTTATGAATCTCATTCGATCGAGTGTGGATCCTGCAAACTACTACTTTTAATAAAGGCGGCATTTTTTCTTACTCTTAAATAACGCATACATAGTGTAATGTAGTTACAAAAATTATATTACTCTCTAAAATCAGTATTTTTCGTACCACAATAAAATTCACTTACCTGCATGGATCGTCGACTTGAGCCGCTATTCGAACGGGAGAGCATCGGAGGTCGACGTTTAGTGGCACCACGACCGGCCAATAAGTTATTCAGCAACGATGGCGAACGAGCACAAATGAATGCATGAAATGAGGATACAGTGAAGACGCCCAATTTGTTCAATGTGTTCTTAGTTGGCCGTGAAACGTGTGTGAGCAAAGACTGCAATGACAAGTAGATAATTAGTCATTTAATAGTTCTTTTTTCAAATATGTTGAATATGTAAATTTGACAATAGAAAATTAAATATGTATAGTTAAATAACGTAGATAAAATTTTCTTTGCTGTAGAATGACGAAATTGAATCTTTGAAAAATGCGCACCAAGCACTGTTAGTTTTTCAGTAACGTATCGCAGGGCGTACAATTCAAAAGCACATTTCCTGTCTTGTAATTGGCGTTCTCCCTGTTTTTTTTTTTTTGAAATGCATGGATAAAATAATCTAATTCTGCTATTGTTATGTCCATATAACATAAAAATGTTTCGCTAAATTTTGAAGTTCTTTTAATGGTTCCTAGCAAACCTGGTGGAACACCAAAAACGTAGAATTACGAACGTGTTGGAGTGAAATAAATCTGCCCGAACATCAAGTGTACTATGCCTTTCACTAAAAAAAGTCCGCCGACTGGCGACGTCTTTCACAGCTTACATTTAAAGGAGCGCAAATTTGGTGTTGGATTTGTGATGCACCCCGGTGGACGAGCGCGTAGCCACAATCCGCATTCAAGCGAGATTCTTCAACATCTCGCCAATATGCGACCTTGCCCCGACGAAAGGGAAGGACGAGGGGTCCAAGGATCTTTTCTATGAGCGCTGCCCCGCTATGATACCAAAATCGAGTTTGGCAGCTTCAATGCCAGGGTGAGAAAAGAAGGAGAAAGGATCTTTGGAATCACCGTCGGAAAATTCAGCCTCCAGGATGAGTCGTCCGACAACGGAATGAGACTGGTCGACCTAGCGGGGGCCCGAAACATGGTAGCATGCAGTACTATGTACAAGCATAAAATGATCCATCAAGGTACGTTGTTATCTCCAGAAAACGAGAAACCAAAACGATCACGTTGTAATAAAAAGAAGGCACGCTTTTGGTGTTTTAGACGTACGCACACTCCGAGGCTCAAACATCTACTCGGACCACTATCTTGTTGCAGCCAAGATACGCACCCGCCTCTGTGCAGCAAAAAAGGTGCACCCAAATATGCAAGGAAAGCTTAACGTCGAAAAGCTGCAATCACAACAGACAGCCAGCGCTTTCGCTACTCGACTCTCACACCTGCTCTCAGAGCGCACTCTTCAACAAACCGACATATGCGAGCAGTGGAACCACATTTCCCGCTCATTAAGTACCGCCGCCGAAGAAGTAGTCGGATTTCAGCGAGCCCGAAAGAAAAGCTGAATAGAAAAAAGATACCGCCTATAGGGCGATCGAGCGCAACGCGAGCCATGCGGGACCGTTATAGGGAACTGAAGAAGGAAGCGAGATATATTTGCCGCAATAAGAGGAGAGAGGCCGAAATACGTGAGCCCTAAGAGCTTGAGATGCTAGCCGACAGGAAAAACGCCCGAAAATTTTACCAGAGACCAATGCGATTTACGGAAGGTTTTAAGACCATGGCGAACTCTTGTAAGGACAACAACGACGACCTAGTAGCTGATGTCCATAACGTACTTAAATTACGGATGGAACTTTTTTCCACTCTACTGAATGGTAACAGCACTGAAAGCGGTGGAGAAGACGAATCCGAGCCCCAGTCGATGATAACGGAGTCGATGTTCCAGCACCTGACTATGAAAAGGTACAAATAGCAATAACGCGCTTTAAAAACAACAAAGCTGTTGGAGTTGACAGCCTGCCAGCTGAGCTATTCAAGTACGGCCACGAGGAGTTGATAAGGTGCATGCATCAACTCTTATGCAGAATATGGTCCGATAAACGCATGATCGACGACTGGAATTTAAGTGTGCTCTGCCACAAGAAGTGTACCCAACCCAAAAGAAGATTTACGGGCCTTTAGGCATTGGCGACGGCGAGTACCGCAGACGATGGAACGATGAGCTGTATGAGCTTTACAACGACATGGACATAGTGCAGCGAATTAAAATACAGCGGCTCCGCTGGCTTGGCCGTGTCGTTCGAATCGAATGGACGCCGGCGTTTCAACTCTGAAAGTATTCAACTCGGAACCCGCTGGTGGTAGCAGAGATGGAAAAACCAGGTGGAGAAGAACTTGGCTTCACTTGGCACTTCCAATTGGCGTCAGTTAGTACAGAAGAAAAACGTGGCGTGCTTTGCTGAACTCGGCCAAAATCGCTTAGACGAGTTATCGTGTGCACCGACGGACGGACGGACAGAGAGTCTCATCATTTATGTATGCATTTGTCTATATCTATCTCGATTAGTTTTGTCTGTTACAAACAACCGTTATGTGAACAACATATATATACAAATAATATTGGTGATAGCTGCCTATTACTTAAGTACATTCGTTCTATTAATTATTCACTTGTCAATCACTTAGAATCTTGTGAGATATGGTAATAGATTGTTGTCGAGCACTTTTATAGTGGTAGACAAGGGACAAAAATTGAAGCCTTACAAAAGTGTATGTACGTGTATGAAACTGAATATAAAGCATTTGCTTTTAAAATAAATTTTTTCCTATGGTAGCATGAATTAGCATGCAGTTCTGCGCTTGCATATGTCTGTATGTAAGTGAGTATCGTGTTCCTGCTTTGAATGCACTTTACTTGTACTGACTTTGAAGCAGACTGATTTCGTAGATACGTACTTATTTATATACAAATTTGCATAGCATATGAATTCATAATACACCCCCGACCTCCCCTTAACTCACATCAACTTAAAAACTAAGTGTAAGGCAAATATCCTGCGGGAAAGCACTTCATGCAACCAAACAGAAGCAGTTCGGCGACACCATGCGATGGGTGGAGTATAAGTAGCTTTCTTCGCCAGCAGCATAATCGGCTTGCGCCTACACTCTTACGACTCCCACTTTCCTGCATTGCTGTCTGTCGTCTGTCTGTTTGCCTAATTGTATGCAAGTTACTAGGTGTGTGTGTGTGTGTGTTCCGGCGCGTCTGTGTGTGGGTGTTGGTTATTTGCTTGCCTGTTAATAATAAATCATGCCGCCTTCATGACTGTCATTTGGCTGCATATTGTTGCTGTTACAGTTCTACCCCGCATGTGTTTCTTTTATTATTGTGCCGTTTATCCTACTTGTTATCCTCACACGCACACCGTAACATACAACCACGTACATACAAAGGTATGCGAAATGAGCGTGCAATATAAAAAGGCAATCGTTGCCACACTAGACCACAAATGCCTTTACATAAGCCATGAATAGCTTAGTGGAGTTGAGTGCAAAGTTGAGCGCATGGAGTTTTGACTCTTGACTAACTGTTTGTCTGTCTTACTTCAGACTCCTCTTTAGCATTATAAATGTGTGAAAATATTTTTCAAAATAGCAGAAGGCAATGAAGGGAGTAGTGGAACAAGCGAGCGAGCGGCAGAGGGATATGGCAGCTGCATTAGTTGGTTTGAATGGCGGTTGAATAGCTGAATGAAAGATTGCAGCTGTTGATGTTTGCTGATATGTTAAGCTATAAAAATATATGTATATATTTGCAGTTATATGTTTTAACAGCTACAAATACGCATATACGTGCGCAAATTCTCGCAAAAAGTGTGGCTTAACCAGAATGACTCCTGGACCAATCGCAAAGGAACCTGCGACCAATACTAGTTTTGATATAAATTTATGGAATGAATTGTTCGCTTTTGTTCGAGCATGTCCTAAGAGGACATTAATTTTCCCCCTTTATACCCGAACGGCTATAAAAAAGGACTAAACATTATAATAAACAAAATAATAGGGAGCTCTTGAACTCATTTTATGATACCACCAACGACAAAGTTCTCCAAGCCTGCAAAAGACTCGAGGATATTAAGTCTCCCGGTCTAGACAGGGTTTCTAATTTAGCTTTGAAACTGGCTATCACCTCGGCTCGTATTGTCGATTTATTTAACACCACACGCCTAGACGCTTAGCCGAGGGAACATTCCCATCAGTTTGGAAGAGGCAAATGCTAGTATTACTGCCTAAATCCGGTAAACCTCCAACGGTATCTTCCAGTTGCAGGCAGGGAAAGTCCTTGAACGTGTGATAGCCGACCGTCTCGAAAACGAAATCCACGCTAAATAAAGTATATCTGATAGCCAGTTTGGTTTTCGAGAAGGGAGAAACCCCATTCATTGGTGTAAACTTTATAGCCCAGCTGACACGCGACGCAATAAGTGGTTCGCGTTGGCTGGGAGGTTCTAAAGAATATTGCTTAGTAGTAACCGCAAACACTGAAAATCCTTTTAATTCGGCGAACTGGGCAAACAGCCTAAACGCAATGGATCATATGAGACCTCAGCAGGTATTAAAAATCGAAAAAACTTAAGCCGAGTGTCCCAAGGCTCTGTGCTTGGTCCTTTGCTATTGAACATTATGCACGACGGAGTTCTTTGCCTTAAAGTACCCACCGCGACCGAGGTAATTAGTCTTGCGGGTGGCATCGTGGTAGTGGTTACTGCGAAACACTTAAGCGAAATTTGAGATAAAGGCAATAAAGCCATAGGAGCCGTACAATCGTGACTTAAAAAATATGGCTTTAAGCTGACAGAGCAGAAAACGGACGTGGCACTTATCCCCAGCAGGAAAAAGTAAGAAGAGACATTCGACGTGGCAGCATGGGTTGTCGCTAGAATGTACCCCATCGATATACTGGCGGAGGAGGAGGAAAAATGTTTTAGGAGCGAAATTGAATCCTCCGCGGCAAGAGATGGCAGTAGGCAACTTTCGCAACAAAGATCGGACAACTCCCAAACGGCCCTTGGACGTACCGCTGTATCCCGGATATGAAACGCTGGCTTGACAGCACGCACGGCGAAGTAAACTTCTACCTAACCCGGCCCTTAACTGGTCACGGGTACTTTACTTCGTAAATATACCCTTTTTAATGCTAAAAAAGACGTAAATCCTTTGTGTTGTTCGAACGTGCGCATTTGGAGGAAGATAGTCACGCGAATATTTCGTACGTAGCATGCTGGAAAGCAGTAAAAATAGAGATTAGCATGTGACGCAATCACCGATACGATGAAAAGATTTAGGACTCTTGAAAGACTAAGCCATAGCAGCGGCCTCCCGCCAGCCCACACAAAGTTGTGCTTGACGGCAGACCCGTGGGGCGCGGAACTCGACGAAAACAACGGGCTTATCTTGGTTTCAAAGTGCCACTTGAGGGAAGTGCGCTGCCACAACGCCCATAAAATAAAATCCCGTTAGGGATGATTCGAGTACGATTTAATTAACGATTATAACCGTAAGGGACGAGTCGAGATTCGACTAACTAATGATCAATGGTACCAGATTGTGAGTAATGTCGGAGTACGCTCTTTCGAGGTTGGTTGAACAATTTTTTGCGGGGATATTCGTGAAAGCTTGTGAGCACAAACACACATACATATTTACAAATGTGTAGATATGCATACACCTGCCATATATAAGTTTGTCGATTTATGTTCATGCTTCTATGTGAATATTTTATTGCTTTTCACCTTTGCGTTTGCGTGATTCTTTTCTTTTAGCCATTCTCCGAAAGCAGTTACCTCACTTCAAACGTTATTATGGATAATCATATCTCACCAGTGTGCAAATGTCTACTTAAAAAGCACAGCATATTGCTGCTTTTATGAAAAATATTTATCATACGTCCGTCTTAAAAGCCGACAAGTTATGGCAACGTGCAACACGAAAGTGAAGATTTATTAGGATTTTAGCATTATAAAGGAGAAAAGCATGTCAGCCAAACTAGGCTAACATGAGCATTTAGGCATGTACATATCAGTGTTGCCCCATACGGGCTTTTCCTACAAAAACTGGTAGGTTACTTTCCATTTGGTAGTTTGATAGACTAGATTGGATTTTGTTAGGCTCCGCGTTATTATTTGAGAAAAATTGAAGGTATGTATATTTAAATATTTAAGCAGTACTGAGGACTGGTGTTCTGAAAAGAGTTTGTCAATAAACCCACTGAAGTCCACCATTGTACAGAAAGAAGAAATCAAATTGACTAGACCAACCTTGGCAGGGACAGAAATTAAGTTCTCAAATCAGGCAAAGTATTTAGCGGTAACTTTGGACAAAGGCCCAATCGGAACCCACATCTCCCGAATATTACCAACAAGGCTACAAGGGCATTTTGTGCCTGTTAGAGACCTAATGGTTAGACTTGGGCTACATCACCCAAACTAACGTATTGGTTTTTCAATACGGTAGCCTGGTTACCAAAAGTTAAGCAAGTAAACGCGGGTGCCATCTTGAGCAAGCCGCACCGACTGGTCTGCGTGTCCATTACAGGAGCTGTGCACACCTGTCCAACTGATGCTCTTGGTGTCATTATAAGCAGAACTCCTTTGTCTATTCAAATTGAAAAAGAGGCCGGCTGAAGCGCTCTACGGCTGCCCAATATCATCAGCATGAAAACTTGAGATTCTCGGGGTCATTTGGAGATTCCCAATCCATTCCTAGATGATCCCGCTATCAAGCTCACGGATATCATGCTACCGAAGTTATCCTTCTACAATCCCTACAAGGTCAGAATTTCTGAAATGGACTGCTGGGAAGCGGCAATACTATGATTGAAAAAAGGTTCCAAATAAGGTATACCGATGGATCAAATATGGACGACGGGAGTACTGAGGCAGGCGTGCTTTGAGCAAGATTACAGAAAAGTCCGCCAATGGTCACATACCCAACCATATTCCAGGAGGAAGTCTTCGAAATCGATATATGTTCGCGAATGCTTTCCTAGGAGGATAAATGGTGCCAGAATAAGCAATATGTCAAACAGTCAGGCAGCGTTAAAACGGAACCAAGGCTTGTCGACAGCTGTAAATCTCTCGACACAATAGCGTACCGCTGAGATCGGTTCCGGGTTTTGAAGGTAACAACCGTCTCGAAAAGCGTGGAGCCCAAATGCGCATGCATGATCCCGAGATTTTCCGAGCTGCATCTAAAGGATACACTGCAGAAGTACTTAGGGGCTGCGAAGAACCTAAGATTGCTGTCCACTCCTTAGATTAGCCGTGTCTTAGAACTCATACCGGCTGCCGGACAGGACACTGCAAGTTAGGGTACCATTTGAATAAAATGGGGCTCGCTGTAGATACAGCAGGTTTTTTGGGCTGGTGGAGGAAGTCGCAGAGCATAGTCTATGTGACTGCCCACATATCATGATTGTCTGATTCATTCAAAGTTTGTAACATGGCAGCTTCCAAAGTGCTTAGCTTCTTAAAAATCCTTTGGTTGGGGCGATAAAGATTAGGGTTTAGCACAATGCATCTTCTAAGGTCAAACATACTTTTGGTAGGTTTTGCTTGGTTGTGTTGTCCTTTTCGTTGGAAGTTTGGTTTTACGTCGTGGATCCTAAATCCTGCTCATGACCGGATTCTAAGGCTATTTTGTTTGAACACACTTTTTATACCCGAGCGCACTTGTGCACAAGGGTATTATAACTTTGTTCACATAACGGTTGTTTGTAACAGGCAAAACGAATCGAGATAGATATAGACAAATGTATACATAAATGATCAGAATGAAAAGAGAAATCGATTAAGCGGTGACTGTCTGTCCGTCCGTCCGTCCGTCCGTCCGTCCGTCCGTCCGTCCGTCTGTCCGTCTGTGCACACGATAACTCGAGTAAAAATTTAGATATCTTAACGAAACTTGGTACGTGAACTTCTTTTGGGCGTAGGACGGATGGTATTGAAAATGGGCGAAATCGGACAATAACCACGCCTACCTCCCATATAACGGTAATTTTAAGAAATACGAAAACTGCGATATTTTAGTAACTACTGAAGATAATTCACTCAAAATTGATACCTACAATGAGTTTCAGACGGAAAACATGAATTTTATAAATTTTTGGAAAATGGGCGTAGCCACGCCCACTTATGGTTACATGTGTATATCTTGGTAACCGCTACACCAATTTCTTCCAAACTCGGCACAGTTGTTGGCCTTAGTACAGCATACTAAATGGCTGAAAATTCTAAAAATCGGACAATAACCACGCCTACCTCCCATATAACGGTAATTTTCAGAAAAACGAAAACTTGCATATTTTAGTAACTACTGAAGATAATTCACTCAAAATTGGTATTTGCAATGAGTTTTAGACGAAAAATAAGAATATTACAAAATGTTGGCAAATGGGCGTAGCCACGCCCACTTATGGTTACTGGTGTATATCTTGGTAACCGCTACACCAATTTCTTCCAAACTTGGCACAGTTGTTGGTCCTGGTACAACATACCAAATGGCCGAAAATTTCTAAAATCGGACAATAACCACGCCCACAGCCCATATAACGGTAATTTCGAGAAATACAAAATCTCCGACAAATCAGTAAATATTGAAGCTAATTTATTCAAAATTGATGGTTGCAACAATTCTTTACCAAGAAATACGTTTATGACAAAATTTTGGAAAATGGGCACAGCACCGCCCACTTGTGATCACATATATGTATCTCGCTAACCGTTCTAGCAATTTGTACCAAGCTCGGTATGGTTATTGTGCTTGCCACATAAAAGCAAACTGTTGAAAATTGTTGAAATCGGACTAAAATTACGGCCGCTTTTCATATAACGGTAAATTTCAGAAATGCTTGAAATTTCAATAAGGACGCTAATTTACTTAAAATGTATACACCCCGGCTTATCATGTAGCGGTAGCTTTCGGAAGGGTGGAAAACATATATTTAATACTTGCGCCGGGTATTTAATGTTCGGCTCCGCCCGAACTTAGACTTTCTTACTTGTTTTATAATAAAATGAGGCGCTGGCTTCAAGATAGGTGCTTACTTGCAGCCGAACTTCCTGGTGGAAAAATGCAGCGGACTTCAGTGGACGCTTAAGTCGAATATGTTAGCCCATAAAAGCTTCGTCTCCCATGGGTTGCTCACGTTGTCCACAGCGCGATCATGGACGCGAGGTTGGGCATTTATATAGTCGATCAACTATAACTGGTTACCCGGAAGCCCTACTTTACCCTTTTGCACTCACTATGGAATTATTAGTTGTCGGTCGGTTTATAAGTGCTTAAAATGAATTTCTGTGGCATATTTTTTGATCGCACTACTGAAGGCAATAATGCTATTGAAGATTTTACCTCCCAAATTTATGTTTCTTCAGGATTGCTAATACAGGAGGTGGGAACGACTCGTCGTAAGTGGGGAGTTAATTATTTTTTCTTGCTGATTAAGAATCATTGAACGAGTATGTTTGCTAAGATGTACAGACGTTTTAGCGGATTTTCCATTTATTGAACCATAATTGTCTCGAATACACATCGGCTTGAGAACTAAAGCAGCTTTGAAAGTTTAACCGTGAGCAAAAGGCACATGTAGATCCACTCATGGGCACATTAAAGCCATATCATGAATGTATATTTCAATGTAATAGTAACTATTTGACTACTCCGTAAGTGAGAGTTAAGTATAACTTAAGTAGTAACTACCGATATTATAATGGCAATCTAACAATTGGTATGAGTATTCGCTATACTTTAGATTGATTTAGGTATGCGATTACTAAATGTATACAAAAATTATTCATTCTCATTTTCAACACTGTTGCCAATGCTTTATGCTAATATGTATTCACATAAATTTTTCGATTATCATTGCTTACACTTACATACATACAGATACTACACGTATGTATGTGTATGTATGTATGTATGCATAATCAATGATAATGATATGCATACCTATTGATGTGCGAAACGTTTGGAATTTTGTGTAACTATTGTATATAAAAACTTACTTTTGGATTTGGCAATTCGCCACTCTGCAATGACGCCATGTAGCAACGCAAGCGGAACTGTTCGCAATGTAAACGTTCCAAATTCTCCTCCCATTGCAGGATTTGTGTCTGTATTTGGTGGCGAGTATCCTGGTCGGTAACAACGGATTGCTGCAGCTCAGCCATGTGCTTCAACTTGTGATCCTGCGAAAGAGAAAATACCAGCAAGTGACAAATCAGTTGAATTCGAACAGTTTAGAAAAACGTATAAACAAGTTGTATTGCGCATATGTATGTATGTATGTACGTATCTGTATAGTATGTTCATAAATATGTACACATGTATTTTTTTTAATAAAACTTGGATTTAAAAATGCGATACCAACAGCCAATGCTGGCGAGTTAAGTGAAAAGTGCAACAGCTAAGAGTTTGTTGTTTGTTTGGGTTTTTTGTCTTTTTTTTTGGAGAGGGAAAAGCTTACTGCTCGCTTTCAGCCGCTGATATGAAAAACAAAAATCTGGAATAAAAACTCATTTCATGTGCAGTCATTCAAGCTCAGCAGGTGTGAAATTTTTCAATCTGAAGTTTTTCATTTTCATTTTTATTTTGCTTGTTTCAGTTTAAGCAAGCTCGTCTATTCGCGCAATTGTTCTTTCTAGCAAATTTTGTGCTCTTTAACGCCTGCTCGCAACATTTTGTATTGTATTTGGGCCTGTTTATAAATTTGTATGTATGCAGGTATGCAGGTATGCACTTGTATACTTTTAATCACAGTTGCTAATGTAGACGAAATGCGCCAGATTCTAGTGGTTTATTTATATACATACAGATGTACTTATGTACATATCCATATGTAAATATGTATGTATAGATATATTACCCTGCCGGGAAAATCCGAACGAGTGAACCAAATTTCTAGTTCAGTGCTAGTTCTTTATCGCAAAAAACGCACCTGTCTGTCAAAAGCAGCGAAATGTGGTAGTTTATAAAAACTAAAGTGTGTTTTTCATACATGAAAATTAGCCTGGTTCAATAAAATATACATTTCAAATTTTCTTGTGAAATATTTTCGGTACAAGACGCCTTGCAAAAGCGCAGCCGTTGGGCCGAATGAATAAAAACAAAGCAATTGCTTTTTCTTAAAATTGCATAACTTTTACTTCAATTTTGTTTGAATAAATCGAGTAAAGTGTAAGAGATTTTATGAAAAAGCAATTGCTTATTTTTTATTCATATCTGGCATCTGGATAATAAAATCTAGATGTCGCTCATCGCGAATATTATTTTCCATTTAAATAACACAGTAAAAGATTTTTAAAATTTTTAATTTTATGTTTATGTAATTCGGTTTTAAAAGAACGTATCAGAGTGAGCGATACTTATGGGCCATTCCATACAATTTTACACCTCAATATTTCTTTTCGGGTGAAATAAATTTTTTTACATTCTTTATCGAAAAAAAGAAGACAACTGGTTTTTTATTTCGTCATGATATTCGAAAATCTCGGAAAAAATTCCGAAATTTTGAGATGAATTAAAAAAAAAAAATTTGCATTAAAAAATCGCATTTTTTATATTTTATTTATTTTTTATTTACTTCAGCATGTTTGATTTTTATTTTTTTCAATCTGAATAGTTGCCAAACTTTATGGAGTAAGCACTAAAGTTTATGCACGCAGGTATGAAAAAACTCGTAATATCTACAGATTTGGTGTTTCCATTCTCAAATTTTTACAGCGTACTCCATAAAGTTTGACAACTTTTCAGGTAAAAAAAAATAAAAATCAAAGATGAAGTTAATAAAAAAAAATAAAATAGAAAAATGGCGATTTTTTAATGGAAGTTTTTTTTTTTTATTTTAATCTATCTCACACTCTCATGAAAAGCGGAGGTAATTATTCACATTTTGATGACATAACTGATTTTCTCCGACAAATTGTTTATAGTGGTGCACCCAAAAATTCATTTTTTCTCTCTATTCTACATAATTTTCCTTTTAATTGATACTTATATTGTTATTCTACAATGCACTGAATCTTTTAAATAACTTTTTATTCAATCATATTCTAGAAATTTCAAAGTCCTTTAAAAAAAACCCTGACGTCAGAGAGAAAACCTAAAACCGCAGTTTTACTATATTTGGCCCCCAGTTTTGTGAATATATTGATTTCTGTCGCACGGTGTTATTAATAAATTCGCGTTTCTTGACGATGGAGCATGAAAATCAAGAAGCAATTGTGAAAGACTTCCTCAAAAACCCAGCATGCTCTGGTTAAAAAATTGCAAAAAAAAACTGAAGTTGCCAAAACCAACTGTTTGTATCGTTGCGTTATAAAATGGTAGCAAAATACATTAAATCAATCAAGGAAAATCCTGGGTTGTCGGACTTAGATCGAGCCAAAAAATTTTAAACAAGCAGAAGCACAATTCAGCGAATACACTTAAAAGAGGGGCTAGGATCTTATCGTGCCATTAAATATCTAAATCATCTAAATTGTTCTGACAAATAGAATCTTGTAGAAAAAAAACGCGCTCGACTTTTTTCCAACAAACCAACTTTCTGGCCAAAAATGCGATGCGGCCAATAAACGAGGAAATTCCCCGTCAACATTTAAATATAAAAAAATGAGATAGATTTTGAAAAAAAAAGTTGTGGGCTGAAAGCAGGACATTTATATCATCGTCCACAATGACATCCAAAATTTACTCTAAAGAGTGTCGCCATAACTTACCAAATTTTGACCTCAACCATGAAATGGTATCTGGATAATAAAGTGGATGTGATCACAAAATATATCCGATTGTAAAAGCCAAGTTAAAGAAAAAATGGATGCATTTTAAAGGAAAACCATGCATTGAAGACATGTTCGAAAATTCTTACACAACAAGGAACTAGAGAGGTTTAATAAATATGCTTTCTTTCAAGATAAAAACTACCGAAATCTTAGTTTTGTTTTAGAAGTTACTGACATTTTTTAGCGCACAGATTTTAATTGAGTCCAGCTTTAACATAAATGGGGCGTTCCATACCAAAACGGACGGGGTTCACACTTCATGTGTTTGATTTGTTTAAAATTTTTAGGGTTGATGCATAAACGTAAACAATAAATAAATATGAAATTTGGGCTTGATTAATACATGTTTAAAAACTTTACAACACTAAGTCAAGAACAAATACATTTAATAGTTTTCCAAATATCTCGAGAACGGGGCGAGGAAAAATTTTGAACAAAATCACACATGCAAACATCAAAATTCTCTAAGAAAAGAAAAATTAAAAAAAATTTTCTCATACAATTTTTTTTTATAAAAAAATAGTTTTTTAAAATATGCAATCTAAAAAAAAAATAAACAAAAATCACAATGGTAGCTCTGAGTATTGCGCAATATTTAAGTATAATATTATAGGGTGCACTTTACAATAATTTGAGTTATGATTTTTTTTTACGCCGAAGTTGAGTAAAATGAGTACATAAAAAATTTACAAATTTTAAAAGATTTTTTTAGAACTTTTTCGAATAACAAAGTGCAAGGTTTAAGCTAGTGCAAAATTGCGTTTATTTTTAACATATTTTATGCGAAAAACCATTTTCAAACAAAATTAGCTTCAGTTTTGAAATCGCTTAAAACTTGCACTTTATTATATTAAAATTTAATGGGCTACAAAACCACATACTCAAAACCGCATATTAAAAAAAAAAACTAAAAAAAATATGTAAATTTGTAATGTACTCAATTTACTCAACTTCGGTATAAAAAAAATTATGACTCAAATTATTGTAGAGTGTACCGCATAATACTATACTTAAATATTGCGCAATACTCAGAGCTATTGTGTGATTTTTATCTATTTGTTTTTGAGATGACATATTTTCAAAAACTATTTATTTGTGTTTAAATTTGTATGTGACAAATTTTCAAGAATTTTTTTTTAATGTTTCTTTTCTTAGAGAATTTTGATGTGTGTATGTGTGATTTTAATTTTTTCCTCGCCCCGTTCTTGAGATATTTGGAAAAATATTTAATCGATTTGTCTTTGTTTTTGGGCTGTAAAATTTTTTAAAATGTATTCAGCAAACTCAAATTTATTTATTTATTATTTATGTTTATGCATCAACCGTAAAAATTTGAAAAAAACTTCTACCTATGTATTTTGTAAACACGTGTCCTTATATTAACTAACAAATACCGGCGAATATAATATGACAAGATTATTACAAAACGTTTTCGAGTTTTTTTAGAAAAAGTGAAAAATGTAGTCAACACATCCCCTTCGTGCGTGTAAAATGTGTAAAGCTTACGTTCCAATGGAAAAAGAAAATTTGTATTCTTGTATTTATTAAGACTTGTTTAAGTAAATTAAGAAGCTGTGTAGATATGCGTATATATTTGCCCTAAAGAAGCTTTTGTCAACTTTTGGGCCAACAAAAGAAAAGCAACAACTAAAGTAAAAAAACTTTATGAGTATTGTTTGGCTACTGTATTAAATACACTAAACAGGATGAAGTTTTCGTTACAGCTTGTTGAGTTTTCGATACGTGACTTGAAATTTTTAAAGTTTTCCAAGGATAATTGAGTCATGGGCTTATCTGTGAATATATGTATACATATATCGCACACCGCTTTCAAAAGGTTCATATTTTGCCAAAACTCAATGGACTCCTATAAGAGCGCTGCAGGAAGTAAATAAAAACCCAGACAAATTTACATACATATGTACATATGTTTTTTGTACATTGCTTGTACATAAATTCAAACTTGAAACTGTAATTTTACATATGTATAATAAGCATGTGCGCATTGCATATGATTGCCAAACAAACATCCATTGGAGTTATCTTATTTAAAAAAATAATAAATAAATATTAAATGCTGCCTTGGAATGGCACAGATAATTTTCTGCGGAGCTAAAATATATTTCCTGACAAAACATTTCTTACTGCACCGCCTACAGAAGAGTTGACATTCAACTGCGGTGCACGTCACGGTTCCTATCATGAACATGATACGGTGTTATATATTACCTTAGCCTGATGTTTGTAAGTACCAGAAAGAGAAGAGGTAGACACAAAAAAAGTTTACAAAAATTATTTGAATAACGAGCTGAGTCGATTTAGCCGTGTTATGCTTGAAACACAATACCCTGCGAACGGCGAGGTTCGTCGAATCGAGCGATGCCGTCGTTCACAGTGGCAGCGAAAGA